ACAAAGGTTTTTTCACATAAGGACATGACATAGCAGAGCAAAAATAACACAACCACTTGTTTTACACAAAACCTCCCATCACAGCAACCGAAACAGCATTTGTGTACCAAGGGGGAAATCAGCCCAGAGGGAACTGCCATGACCAGAGCTGAGCTTTGTCACCCTACCTACCACAATATCTCTCCAGTAACTATAGGGATTAGGGAGCCAGCTTTGCAAATGACATAAATCACTCCCTCCCCCTCTGTCCGTGTGGTGACTCAACACTCCAAGGCATCTTTTCCCAAACTTCCACAGCACAAGAATGCTGATGTTGCTACTGCCGGCCTATCATCTATGCATGATATACAGGCATGTCCACTCAGCATTCGTTTTGTTCAGCCTCCAAAAGGAGCAAAGGAAAACACAAAAAGGTTGCAAAAACTGTAATAATAACTAAATAATCTATAGCAACTTTTCTGCCCCACATGAGTTCACCTGAAAAATCAGAGAAGAAACATTAAAGATTTGGTGAAAATGGACATAAACAATCCTAAATAATTTCCTACATCGGGCAGTAACTGCCTGTTGGCTATTTTGCCTTCCCACACTAGACAATTGCCAAATTTTATCTTATTTAAACTCCACACAGTGGAAGGAACAAAACATGATAATCTATGTGCCACGTGAAGGTAACTCCGCTTTGGTCTCGGCAGTTAAGTGGGGAATAAGTTCTAACATGTTGGAAGTCATATTTAGAGCTTTCATTAAGAGCTTGTAAGAAACTTTTTTGTTTGTTTCTAGGAAAAATAGCATATAAGTTTTTCTACAGTGTTTTTACTAAAATAATTTTAAGTTACATTGTAACCAATTAGACATTAAAATATATCCAGAAAAACTGATATAAGCAGGAATGTAAAACAACAAACTATTTTAAATTTTGTGTCTTAGATTCCATTCATCCACATTTTTTGCAAAATAACATTTTGTTATAATGTTCCTGTTCCAATAGAATGCATTTTAAAACTTATTTTGCTTTTAATATCATATACTAACAAGATAAGTGATGTGATTTATTTTTGCAGCTGTTTGAGTAAGCAGTGTTAATCAAATTCTATTCCAGTTATTTTTTCATATTAAAGGTTATTTTTTTTTAAAGAGAAGATACATTTTTCTCCAACATGGACTATCAAAGTGATTGCCTGGTAGACTAAAAACCACCAATTCAGGCTGACTTAATTTTCACTTACTACATATAAAAGTGATCACTGAGGGAATGTTATTTTCAGGAAATAGCTGCATACAGGCATACAAGCTCTTCAAGCTGCAGAGGTAGAATCCATCTGCTTTGTGCTGACATTTCTTTAACTGAAGTCAAACAGCTGCACTGTGTATTAATCAAAACAGTAAACTTCAAAAGACATGTCCCAAATTCAGGAGAAACTGTAATTACAGTTACAGTTACAATTACATCCATTAAGTTTGCAGTCTCCACAGACAAGCAAGCACAAAATACCATCCCCACTTTTACAAATAATTACCACTAGTAGCTCATAGTAGAAATGGAAAAGGTATTCTATATTTTCACTCCAGCCCATAAACACTAAATTGTTACAACTTCCTCAACAATCTTTATAACTAAGAAGTGGTTAAAGAACCTGTTTTCCTATTGTCATCCTTTGGTCTACCTTACCTCTTCTCTTTCACTCCCAGCTTTCTTACGTGGAAGCTACACTGGGTTCTGCAGTTTCACACCTACATATGAAAGCAAAAAGGAACTATAACATGAAATATCATAGCAATTTTCATCGAAGAAGTAGCATCTCACAATGAGACAAACTAAACAATTTATTTTCCACAATTCTCTGTTAAATCTGCCTCTGATTACAAAGACTATATGGCAATTCTGGTTTTCAAGACATACACTTTAACACAAGAGACATGTTTCCTGAGATAAGATGAGATGCTGTTATCCCAGAAGAATGGTCCATGTGATCCTGCAAGTAGCCAGATAAGTCCTTTTTTCTGTCTCAATAAGATACTTAGATGTATACAGATACAAAAACCTCCTTTGATACCTAATAAAGTGATGTGTGTGACAAAAATACTAGCTCCCTATTGAAGGCCAGCTGCAACAGAATCAGCTGCTATTTCTTTTTCTCAGTGAAAGCAATAGAAATTGTGCAGAGAAATGAATTTATCTTAACTGTGTAAGTCTAACCCAAAAAAGTAAATCACTCAGAAACACAAGAGCAAAGGTGGAAAAAAGCTCCACTTGACATAGGGTAGATCAAAGATACCTTTACATTCACAGCACCCGAGATCTTATCTAAATAAGAAGAAATTTTTCTTGCAACAGAGCCAGATAGTAGAACACAGCTTTTTTTTCCTTAAGTGTACTTTAGAAAACTGAATTATGATATACTGTGTTGAAATAAACACACTTCCATGTCACTGTTTGCTATATATAAGCTGTTTGCTATACTTATATATATAAGCTGTTTTAATAGAAACACTAAATATTTCTTCTCAGTCATACTCTCGATCCTTTAAGTCCAGTATCTTTGGCCTTGCCCTGCTAAGTACCTCATTTTAGGAATATTTGTGTTTTTCAGTTTTGTTTGTTTGTTTCAGGTTTTTTTAATTTTTTTTTCCAAAAAAAAAAAATGTTTCTTTGTATTGTAAAACAGTGCTTTCTGTTTATTTTCTGTTCTTTTTGAACAGAGAGAATGACATTCACCTTACAGCACTGCCACTCCAGCACTCCTCCCCACCTTCTACCCTTCACTCAGTTTTCCCCACTTCTCCTAAAAACAGATGCTCTGCAGAACCCCCTTTCATATCAGCATCTCTTTTCTGTGTCATCTTTCCATAAATCTGGTGAGGTGCAAATTTCAAAAGAAAGCTCATTATGACTCACTGATTTCCCAAATCTCTCATATCTATTACAAGACAACCTGACATTCCTACACACTGAAAAATTAGGGGAACACAAGACTAACCCCTCAGAAGCTGTTTTTCAATCATTCTGGAGCTCACATGCCTTCTGGTGCTCACCCCTTTTTTTGTTTCTTTCCTTTTTTTTTTTAACAGAGAACTTCACAATAAAGAATAACACCAACTTTGTTTCTTTTGGAATATTATTTCTAAAGCAACAAACATGTTTTGTCTTTAAAGACAAAAGGCAACATCCTTGGTCTCGAGCACCTATGTACCATGGATGGCTCAAAATCTTATCTGGTACTTCTTATTTGGTATTTATTTTTCATGATACAGCAAGAGTTAGTTTGATCTCTGACACACAGAGGTATTTGTTCTATCTCTAAGGGTGGAAAAGACGTTTCTTTCTAACATAACAACTCACAGACAAATTGGAATCATGAATTTCATAAAGAATCAATATAGAATATAAAAAAACACATGAAAAACATGACAGATTATATGTATCTTTTCTAGAGACAAAACAACAAGCTAAAATGAAATGCTATTTTCTTCCCCACATCCAGTTTTGAAAGCTACATACTAGTTAATATAAAAATGGATGCCATTTCAGAACACAATCCCTTCCACTTCTGAGTATTTTTTTCTGAGACAATCTGGTTCAGTAGTGCTACGAAAAGTAAAAAACCAGTCTAATAGAATTTAATTTTTGAACTTTCTAGTTTGTTCAAAAGCAATTTAAAGTCACTCTGGCAATGGTATCCAGAACAGCACAAGTTAATTGAACACAAGGATTCATGTAGCAAATTATCTTACTACTAATGGTATGGAAGAAAGAAGCCTGATTAGTGAGCCCTGCTGGATACTCGCAATGTGAGAAGTCGAGAGATGCCAGAACTAAATCAGAAAGGTGAAGATCAATAGTTCTTTAATCAATGGGGGATTACAGTGGGATTTATTCTTCTGAAAACAGCAGGGGCAGATAAATTCCCCACTGAGATTAATTACTAGGAAGGGTGGATGTGAACAGAGGAGTGCAGTTATCTTTGTGACAACTGTAAGTGGCAAGAAGAACACCAGTGGGAGTACAGAGCTCTTTGGCTGAGTCTCTGCTGGTGACCAATGACACCCTCATCAAATTCCCAGCATCTCTTAGTTCCTTAGAAGAAATTGCTTTGAAGCCTGTGTATTTCTACAAACACAAATATTATAGACCAAAAAGCAGGGACACAAATTTTTTGGCTTGTTTTTTTAAACTGATCGGTTGTTACAGCTCTTGGGTTCATAAAAAAATCTATATTATGGAGAAAAAAGAAACATTGTGTACAACTAAAGAATGACAGCTTCATGCACAAAGATGCTGATCACATTCACAGCACCTAGGGGTTGTCAGAGCTGCTGTGGGGCTCTGTGTATTGGGGACATGGAATCCATCATGTCCATGGAATCAATCATTAGTGTAAGAGCCTTTAGTGCTAAATGTTACAGTTCCCACAAACTAGCCACTAATGCATCATGCTCTAGTGCTAAATACTGTAAACTGAGACACTAAGCAGGCTAAGCAGAATAGAGAGATCACAGAGCATCTCTTGTAAAAGAACTGATTTAGAAACAAGTCATAAATTGAGATTACTGTGACTTTGAACTACTTAAGGAATTTACTAACATGAAAAAACAGAACTAACAGCTTAGCTTGTCAGTGCTTGATTTTCTACCAGTTTGAGGGAGAATCTTCTAATTGGTCTCTCCCACGACGTTTTATGTTCACTTACCTTATCAGAAGACAAGATGCAGAGGGTCCAGCAGATACTAAATTTGCTGGACGTAATCTGATGGATTTATTTGTTTCATTATTTTGGTTATTACCAGCAGCTGTTTGAGAGATCTCTGTCTGAAACTCTGATCAGATGACATCAACTTGCTCATTGTATTTCTTGTAGAAAACACTTCAGAAAATATTTTCAACTCTGACTCCATCCAGCTATGTTGGTCTGGTTTTAATGACACTGAATTCAGGAGCTTTAAGAAAAATTTCTGTTGCTTTTTTACTCTGAATTTTATCGAATACCAACAGTCACATCTGTGTGGCAAATCAGCAAAGGTTCTTTATTGGGAAAAATGCAAGTTTAATACAGATATTATATAAATTACAAAAAAAATGTTTTAAAAATCAGTTCTCCAGGATACCCAAATTAATTGAAGGTGGAGCCTCAGTGAAGCAAATAAAGTCTCAGATCATCTCTCATTTTAAAGCAGGTCATAAAAATAGTCCAGGCCTTGTCCCAGTTCCCAGATGGATATTCCAGTGCCCAATTCTTTTGCAAGCTCTAAGCGCAACTGGATGGACTAAGACAAAGACAAATAAAGCAATTACATCATAGATATTAGACACTACATACTGCCATGACTTCATGCCATTATCAGACCTTTTAAAAACATCTATCCTTGAAGCAAGTACTGAAAAGCCTAGTCTGTATTTCAAATACTCTCTGGTTAGCAAGCAATCATTCAGTAAGAGACAGTTAATCGTACCAGTTAATTCAATGACCTAATAAAAGATCACCAGCTAAATTGACAAAATGCCACAGAAATAAATCAGATTTATGAACTATGCAAAGGACTATTCTAATTTAGGCTATCATTTCACAATGCACAGAAATTCTAACTCTTCCCAAAAATGTCTCAGGGGTAAAATAAAACTTTATCACTAAAGACAATCAGAACAACTTGTCAAATACCATCAAGATCTCTTACCTACCCTTGCCTTTTCCCAGGACAGAGTCACAATTTATATTAACACAGTTCTCTTTTAAAGAGATTCTTGGAGATAATATTGAAAAGTATCTCTATTTGAGCTAGAGTTAGTTTAGCCATTTGTTTTACAAGGGAAGCAATGCCACAATTCATGTTCTGCATTTTTTTTCAGTTCAAACAAGAAAACTAATTATTTTTCAACCTTTTTGCTTTCAGCTTTTCTTACTTTGAAGTGCAGCACTGCACTGTTTAAACTACTTACACTAGGGATGTGTTTAAAACTAATTTTCACGGAAAACAGAATAAAGTATCAAGGCATCTTTAACAGATCCACTGGGCCTGGTGTTCATTGCTGCTTTTAACTAATCTTTAACAAGCTACTTTTGAGCAACCTACCAGTGATTACACCATTAATAAGAGAAAGAAACACATTTATCATGGGGTAATAAAATTCAGTGTTTCCCGAACATCTTGATCATCATCATCACATGAACAATTCTTTGACTTGCCCTAGCATACAAATCTCAAAATATTTAAGTACAAGCCTGTTGAAAATGGAACCATGCATTTACCAGCCACCACAGCTGAGTATCTGATAGGGGAGAAATAGTGAAAGGAATGCACAGGAGTGAGTGCTCTTAACCTGGTCGTTACTGACAAGGGTAGGGTGAAATCCTTCCACAAGGCCAAAGAGAACGTAGCATAACAGCATGCAGCACAATCTATCTTTTTGCTGGTATGCTCACAATGAAACTTTCTAACACTGTAAGACAGGTACTACTAGGAAGAACATAGTTAGACATGGTAATTAATATCCCACATGTGATGGTACTTCCACCAAATTAGATTGATGAGGGGAAATATCCTTGTACTAATGGTTTTTAAGATAACAATCCTGTTCAGGAAAACAGAGACTTAGATCATTTCACACTAGTTTATCCATAAAAAATGTCTCTGTTCTCTGTAAATATTATATAGTTTCACTACAGAAGCAATTCCCCTCCAATAGGAAAAGCCAGCAGCAGCTTAACATACTGCCTTTAGTTTAATTTGAGAAAATCTAAAGATAATTTCCTAGGAACTAAGACTGCAAGTAACCATTTTATTCTGTATTATGGTATATCGCAGACTATTGTGTAGACAGAAATTGTATGACCTGCCAAAGGACTGTAAGGCCAAATGCCTAAGTTTTCAAAACACTGAAATATATTCCACAGAAACAGAACTGAAGAAAACATGGTGATAAAGGCTGATAGGGAGAATCAGGACCCTGTTACAGAGAAAGGCAAAAGTTCTCCAAGCTTTCAGCTAACCTGATGAGAAGGAAAATTTCTTTGGTCTCTTGTCTGACAATCTGTTAACAATGTGTCTGATAGATCCTCTCACAGCACTATTTTTTCCTATTGTGTCTTATCTCTAGACATGGTTTACCTTCAGAGATCCTAAAACCCCATGATGCATTAGAAAGAAAAAAACAACTTTCTTGTACAGGCACCTGAAGCTTTGAATCATAACAATTTACATAACATTTAGATAAGGGCAAACTTCTTTCACAAAAGCTTCAGCTCAGTTCAACATTTTCTGAAATGTCTCAATAATGCAACAAGTCAAGTAAACATTTCTGTCCTCTTACAGCCCTCTGGTGTGAAAAACTGACACCTACCTTCAGTGTTGGGTAGAAGACAGCATGTTTTCCTCCTTTATTTCTGTAAAACAGGAAAACCAAATAGTCACAATAGCTTTGATAGATTCCAATAGCATTTTAAACTAAAGTTAGATTTCAAAACCAGTTTTATCCCTTTCTACTAAAAGGAAACAAACTCAGTGCTGAAGAAAACTGCCAACTTTATTTTGAAGGAATTATTGGTAGTAAAATTAAGATATGCTAGTATGTTTAGCACATGAGCATTAATACATACTTATCAAAGACAGGGACTACTTGCCATTTAGTAGCTCCTATCTTTGAGATTTCTTACCCAGTGTACATTCCACTCTGGAAGCTGAGGCACTGTTTCTGTGAAATCAGACACTTTTGCTATCAATTACCATTCATTCAGTACTTGCACTCTGGCTACTCTGCCTCCCGATGGCAGGGTACAGCCAAAATCTTCTCTATTTCTTCTTCTTTTCTACTGCAGATAAGAACTTCTACTCCTGCCCCTTTTCTACGTATGTGCAAACATCACAGAACATAAATCCAAAAAGCTATTGGGAGAAGATACACAACATATCTAAAAGTCAAGTATGTAACTGTGTCACTGTCCTGCAGGTATTGCTTGTAGGTAAATCTATCAGAAAGATTCTCCTGTCATGATTCAGATGAAAGTCCCAAAGTACTTTATGCATAACACTTCATCCAAGAAGTGGTTACAACAAAATACAATATAGGCAGTCAGACAAGATACTTATTTACCCATACTGGTGGCCTTTAAGGACGACAAGTCTTAAAGGAGGTGAAAGAGGCTTTTGATGCTGTCTCACATGATATCTTCACAGGCAAGCCCAGAAAGTGCAGGCTTGACAAGTAGGTGGTGAGGTGGATTGAGAAGTGTCTGAATGGCAGATCTCAGAGGGTTGTGATCACTGGCACAGTCTAGTTGAAGACCTGTCACTAGTGGTGTCCCCCAAGTTTCGATAGTGGGCCCAGTATTGTTTAACTTACTCATCAAGGACATGGGTGAAGGGGCAGATGCCTCCTCAGCAAGTTCCCTGATGACACAAAGCTGGGACGAGCGGCCGATACCCCGGAGTGCTGTGCAGCCCTTCAGGAGGACCTTGACAGGCTGGAGAGGTGGGCACAGGAGAACCCTCTGAAATTCAACAAAGGCAAATGCATCTGGGGAGAAACAGCCCCATGCACCAATACAGGTTGGGGAAAGCAGCTCTGTGGAGAAGGATCTGGAGGTCCTGGTGGGCAACAACCTGTCCAAGAGCCAGCAGTGTGCCCCTGTGGCCAAGAAGGCCAATGGTATCCCAGGAAGTGCATTGCCAGCAAGCTGAGGGAGGCGATCCTGCCCCTCTAATCAGCCCTGCTGAGCCCCTGGGCTGCTGTGTCCAGTCTGAGCTTCCCAGGTAAGAGAGATACGGAGCTCTTGGAGTGGGTCTAGTGGAGGGCAACAAAGAGGACGGGAGAGTACAGCCTCTCACTTGTGAAGAAAGGCTGAAGGACCTGGGCCTATTCAGCCTTGAGAAGACTGAGATGGGACCTTATCAATGTCTATAAGTTTCTGAAGGGAGGGTGTCAAGAGCATAGAGCCAGGCTCTTCTTGGTGATGCTGAGCAATAGAATGAGCGACCTTTTGGAACACAGGAAGTTTTACCTGAACATGGGGAAGAACTTCTTTAATGTGAGGGTGACAGAGCACTGACACAGGTTGCCCAGACAGGTTGTGGAATCTCCTTCCCTGGAGATATTCAATAGCTGTCTGGATACAATCCTGAGTAATGTGCTTTAGAGCTTGAGTAGGGAGGCTGGACTAAATGACCTCCAGTGGTTGCTTCCAAGCTTAACCATTCTGAGATTCTGTGATTTTATGAAAAGGCTGACATTGAAAATAGAGGATCCAAGAAGTCATCTCACAAGAGAGATGGTTTGATACCATATCACAGTAAACACACTGAGATATTTTGTTGCAACTGGATGACAAAATTGTCAGATAGTAAAAGAGAGTTGTGTCTACTAAATGCTCATCTGAAAAAGATGAAGACATTTGGTTTTTAGATGCAAACTGTGAAAGGTTTTCTCTGACTCCCTGAATTACTAGCTTTTCAGTTAAATTAAATGCTAGCTGTATAAAATATAGAGACAGGGCAAGCTATATTGGACACAAAAAACGAAGCTGCATTTTAAACCCCTAATAATGAGAAGGACAAGCTACAAGTCATCTCACAGCACCACTTTACCAGTTAGGGAAGGAGGAAATACAGAGTGCATGGGCAGACCAAGCAGGAATTGCTCCTAAAATCTCACAACTTACATAAATGAATCCTTGCCTGTGCACTTGGACAAGCACTCAGAGACAGCAGATTTCTGCAACTATTTGTAATAGACAGTCTCTGCTACATGAAATCATCAGCTGTGCTTTTTCTTAAAAGATTCATGATTTCATTTCTTAGCCACTGCAGACATGCAAGATTTCCAGGTGAGAAGCTTCATCAGTGAAGCCTATTTCAGGCCTGGCTCCCATCCCTGTCCAATGAAACTGAACCTTTGTAAACAGAAGCGGTAACTGAGAAAGAGTTCCCTTAAATAACCCTCCCCTGGAGCCAGCTGAACCACTGCAGAATCACTGAGCCACTCAGCTGCCTGGCAAGCACAAGTGAAGTTTAGAGTGATTTTCAGACATAGTGTGCTTTATGCATATTCCTCCAGGAAGCCCACACACAAGAACCTCCACAGATTGGCTTTCAAAGGCAAATGATGTCATATTAGTGACAAGCTATCCCTTTCCCACAAGTTCATTTTGCAAGGGGCTATATAAGAAATGTGATTCAGACGTGAATCCCAGAAGCATGCCATTCAGAGAGAGCTCTCAGATTTACTCTTCTGAGAGCAAGTTTTCATCCAGGACTTGTTGTGTCTCCAATTGGATTGTGCATTAGAGATCAGTAAAACAGAGCTTCTGATTTATTCCTCTTTAGCTAACAAAAAACTTGTAATTGTTTGCTACAAAGTAATTTTGCAACAGGATACCAAACAATTAAATATGAGGGAATACAGATCCCAATCCTTTCATACAAAAACAGAAAACAAATTAAAACGCTGCTGAACAAACAGATTTTTTTAAAATTCTTTTTTCTGATAGGAAGTACAAGTTGCTGAGAAGTCAAAAGAAAATTACAGGCTGAGAGAAACCTTGAAAATTAAACTAAAACTATAAAAATAGAACATTTTTTAGGGTTTGGGGTTATTTTTACATTTAAAATATTTAAAACAAGAAAGTATAAATGTGTTTTACTCTACTTTTCAAGTGGTGTGTCTTCACATTAACAATACAAGACACAGGTTTGCAGAAGTAGTAGGATTTGTTTGCATCATCTTAGTAGTATGGGGCCTCTGGTGGTCTAGTGGTTAAGGTGCAGGACTCTCACCGCTGCGACCCGGGTTTGATTCCCGGCCCCCCGGGCAGATGGAGCTCCTCAGCCCTGTGAGGCAATCCATCTAAGAGAAGATCACTCTAAACAAACCTACATTCTGAGACCCTCACTGCCACTGTCCAAGCTTGCTTGGCCCCGGCAGATGAACCTCAGGATTAAAGGGTGGGCTCAGTTCAGCGCACGCTGTGTCTCACCTAAAAAATCCACTGCGCAGGCTCGAAGGGTTATCTTAGTATATTTTTGTATATTTGCATAAAAATAGCAAATTATCAGAGAATTAATAAGATGTTCTGGGGAGGTGGGGGTGTTAAATCTATTTTAAATGGATTCTTCCTAGATCAGGAATCCTCTTGTCATTCCATTATGAAAAAGGGAGGAC